GTCCATCCCCTTCGGTGGAAGGACAAAGCACACCCCTAAGTGCACTTTTTCGTGTGGTGTTTTGCACTTGCACTTTTTTTGTGAACACTTACGGGTTTTTAGTTATAGTTGCACGTTTGCGGACTTAAAAAAAAAAAAAATTCCCCACAGTTGCTCAGCTCCCTCCAGCCTATGAAAGTCTGCAGTCTCCGGTGCCTCAAATTCTGCCCTTATGGGGATAACTGTTTTCTCAGTCTCCTCAGGCTGGAGCTGACTCCTAATTAGTCTGTCAGTCAGAGGAGAGGGGGTGTGGTGACACAAATTTTTTTCGTGAGTCCGATTTTTCACTGTAGGAAAGCAGAGAGGATTTCAGATGACTGGCTGCTCCTTTTTTGGCCAGACTAGGGACAGATGACTTCTGCTGCTATGCTGTGTGAGATAGACTGGTCATTTCAATTTTGATTTTTTTGGGGGGGTTTACAGCCACTTTAAGCAACATAATTTATTTACAAAATAACTTTTTTACAGCCTTACAAGGAACTCAAACCAACAGCTCGCAACTCACAGTGTCAATGCTATGCATATATTACTTACACAGATATAGTAATCAGATGTCCATCTAGTGCAACTCAGACTGCCTGTCATTTAGCAGACAATATGGAATTTGTTTATGACAACTGTGGCTGCAATTCTGAATTGTCAACTGCAACCGTTTGGACACCAGCTGGAAAAATACATGTTTACTGAAGTGACCCCCTTGTTCTGTTTTCCCCACCTCTCTTCCATGTCTATTCTGCCTGTCTGCATTAACTTATTACTCTATACTGTTGCTTTCTCTCCACATTTTCAACAATAGCAACCAAAACATAATGCAATGGATGAAAAACAGGTTTCACAAACCTCCTCCTAAAGAGGTATGAAAAAAAAACTCTACATGCTCACCTCTATGCTGCAGCATCAGTGTGATGTTGCAGTTTTCCCATGTTGGCTCTAAGCCTGAGAACTGAGTGATCGCTCAGCTCTAACACTGCTCAGAGTGGAGAGGCGTGACGGTCAGTCACTGCTCTTCACTCTGCTCCTGCAGTGTTCACTGGAATGCCAGGCTGGAGAGGGAGTGGGTGCAGCTGGCTCTGGGCTCTCAGCTTCGTGGTGACAGGAGGGGTCAGCTGTCAATCAGATAGCTGGGTGGATACCAACAGTATGGTTGGGATCCTTCTAAAGCCTGGAGCGGCTCTGCCATGTCAGCTGAGAGTGGGCAATAGCCCTAGCTCTAGGAGTCTTTTTTCAGGTTACAACCCCCCCCCCCCCATTTTGGATAAAAAGCACACTCTTTTAAACCAAATAAATGTGAATGATGTCACGTCCCCAGCATGTGTAAAAAAAAAAAAGTGCGTGGACGAATCTGATGTTCAGAGAGCATTGGCATTACAGCCTCCGCAATAACGTTCCCCTATCCTTAATCTCAATGAGCAGGTGGTGCCTACTACATATTGCCACACAACGCATATTAAAATTAGAGTAATTCTCTTATTCTAATCCTGTAACCAAATGCCAAAATGTGTTAGCAGACTAAGCTGTTTTTGCACTGAATAAAGAATCAAAACTTACAGACGTGAGCAGATCTTTGCACTACAGTTTTCAGTAAATGAGGGTAAATGGGAGGCTTGGCCGGGCAACAGTTTCCTGAGTCCTATGGCGGACTGAGGTAGAGTGGGTATACACCATTTCTATTTATCAACATGTCTGGTGCTTGTCCTTACACTATCTGACCTTCAGCTTTCTTCCAGCCCAACTTGAAATGATGTACAGGCCCGTAATTGCTGGCTTGTTACAAGTAGAGGTGGCAGAATTGGATTTTCAGGTGGAGTATAGATGAACAAAACACACTATAGATTGTGCTGACAGCAAAACGGGCAGCAATAGGGAGCAAATACAGAAAATAACTGGGACAAAAGAACATTTGTGTATCGTGGCAGGGGTGGTGTGAAGAGTTGTACAAAGGGCAAAAATGTCAGTGATAGAGAAATAGGTCAGGGATGGAGAAATAGTTCTCCAACCAGAACTGCAGATGTCCAGTTCTTACTTTCATATGTATAATATTCCCTCTGAGATTGTAAGCTCCAAGGAGCAGGGCCCTCCTAACCATCTTGTATTGAACTGTATTGTTGCTGTATTTTCTCCCTTTATATTGTAAAGCACTGAGCAAACTGTTGGCACTATATAAATCCTGAACAATAATAATAATATACTGCAGAATACAATACGCAATCACATGGTAAAAACATTTGCTTTTACAGATCCCTTTTCTGTAACACTCCACCTTTGGATTAAGTGCCCTCTCTCAGTTTACATCACAGGGCATAATGTACACTGTGGTTCATGAGGCTATTATAAAAAGTAAGCACATCTGTCCTGTGTAATTTAAAATAACACCAATGAATATTGGTTGATACTGCACTTCACTTCTGAAAATCCTAGCTAGTCAACTATAATGCCGGTCCTTTGGTTTCAATACGTTTTGAGTTACTGACCAGGAAGAAAAGTACACATCAGATCACTCCAACTTCCCAAACTTTACGACACTGGGCCAGTATGACAACTTGAAATTTTACATAAAGGAGTCAGCAATGCCAGTCTATGTATTTTTCTGAACACAGATTTTTTTTTTTTTCTTTTTAAAGCAAATCACAACAGAGTGGCTAGTGTGCAAAGAGAGCCCTGTACAGAAACTAATTTGTAAAAAGGTCTACAGTCCAGATGGGTAGTGTAATAAACAGATGTTTTGCTGGTGACTACTGTGTAAACATAAATTAATTTGTATAACTTGTTAGTAAAGCAGGCTAGTCCAGGTGGCCAAGTGCCAAGTAAACCCCAATCAAAAGATTAGAATGTATTTAAGATCCCAGGTTGGGTAGCTGGTGACTCAGTGCAGATGGCTAGAGGCCGAGGTACACTACAACACTTTTCTGTCCTTGCCAACTCAGTCTCCTCTCTAGTGTATTTGCTGATTAGTGTAGTAATCCCTGTTCATACTGCAACCTTACATGAAAAGAGACCACTTAGAAAAGAGCAGCTCACCATACATCGGAGGAACCTCTGGTTTGCAAAATGCAAATGATTTTCTAGTGGTCCTGCAAAAATCTTCCTATGTATGTACATGAACAATGGTATCAGATGGCTAAGGGTAATTGGGATAAAAAGGGTGTTTCCTTTTTCCCTGGTATTCTGTTTATCTCTGGGTAAATGGTAGACATTAATAGGGATAGCCTGGTGCTCCAGATGACTACATTTAGGCCTCATGCACACTGGGCATTTTTACAGCTGCTTCTATGGGCCTCAGGCACTTTTTTCCCTGCCTAAACTTCCCTGAATGCTAGCCTATGTGTGTGTAGCCATGCACACACAAACTTTTTAGCAGCGTTTAAGTAGCAGGAGAGCTTGGAAGCATGAAAAAAAAAAACTACTGCCAGTGTGTCCAGGAGCAGCAGCCTTTTGACAGAAAAAAACGCGTGACGCTTGTAAACGTGTCTATACACATCTAAACATGTGTTAACGCTAGGCACATTTAGCGCTTGAGCATTCATTCATTTCAATGGCCGTATTATTATTATGGCCAATTAAATGAATTAAGGCCCAAGTGCTTGACGCCTGTAAACATGCCTAAACGCATTACACTTTTACAAGCATCAGGCGTTTTTTGTGTCAATTGCTGCTGCCATCAGAAAAGGCTTCTAGGAGAGTTTGCAAAACGTCCTGTGTGCATGAGGCCTAAAAGCAAACAGAGGGAGATTCCCCAGCATGTACATACCAATGGATGTGCATGCCAGGTAAGAAAAAGCTTGTTGAAAGGTCAAACGTAAAGGGCATTTGACTTTGCTATGCAAAGTGTCAGTTCCCCCGAGATATTTTCGTTTTGGGTAGATGCTGGAGAATTAAACCCCCGTCAGTTTCTTACACTTGCTTGCCGGGACTTAGTGAGATTTTTGTGGTTATGTTCCTGGGTATGCACCCCTACTGTATCCTTTACGGAGGTTCGGGGTCCCACTCTTCATGTTGTATTTTTTAATTTATGTCATATTATAATATGGAGAATGCAGCAGAAGGTGCTGGAGAATGCAAAGATGGGTATTAACATTCAGAACTCTCAATGGACAGAACAAGTATAAAATTATGGCAGGGAAATCTCACGATTGGAGCTTCCGCTAAATATAAGAATACAGAGCCCACCAAGCTCTTCCCATAACTTACATGTATGTTACCCTTACACTGACAAATAAATAATGCCTTACCCAGCACCTTTTCCAGTAAGCCTAATCTTTTTAAGGCCCTTTTGGTGATTCGCTGCGTGCCTCATGCAGGGCCATGTAGTGGTGGCACTGGGAAGCACAGGTTTTGCTTGCATTGGCATGCCAGCAGTCTCATAGACATGTACTGGAACACAGGGCTGCTCAGACACAACCACATCTATATGACTGAAAGCACCATGATGAACACAACCTGTGCATCCCCGACATTATTTTTCATGTAAGCCAGTAAAACTACTTTAAGCCCAGGTTCACACTGACACGGTGTGGAATTTGCATCGGTTTCTGTGCGAAATCCACACCGCATCATAATCGCACCTCGTTCATACGAACCGCTGCGGGTGTGCATTTAAAGTTAACAACATCCTGAAATCAATTCACAAAATGCAGTGCGATGTGAAGGATCGGATCGCATGGATGTGAACACCCATGGCATCCGAGTCTGGTGCGGACAAAAAAGAGGGCCCTGCACTTTTTTGCTGCCGATGCAGTGCTATTTAAGCCATACAAAGTGAATGGCTCAAATTGCACCACACATAAATCACATGTGATTTACACAGGAATGCGGTGTGGTTTCTGTGCAAATCACATCCGATGTGCCGCACTGCATCAGTGTGAACCCAGGCTAAATATCACTTTTGTTTGGGTTTAGCCAGTGCTCAAGCACCATCTGATTTTCATTGTGAACTGTCATGCCATTGATTAAACAAGTCTTACTTGTGATGACAATGAGGCCGTCTCAGTTAAATCTGGTTGGTTCTCTTGATCATTGCTCTGAATTTCTGAGCCAAGTTGTGTCTCTGTAGGATAAAATTTAAGGCAAAATATAATTTCCTGTCACTGCATAATCAAATCATCTATACAAATCAAAGCAAATGCAAATTTTAAGGTAGCCATAACCCTTAGCCACAAATAAAAACAAAAAGTCAATGCCAAGTTAAACATAGAATCATAAATAAAATACAGTATATTGCAGATTTCAGCTCTACTACTGCTCATGTTAATTCTTTTGAGGTAGAGCCGAATTATGCAGTGCGTACAGTGCATTCATACAGTATTCAGACCCCCTTAACTTTTTTCAATTTTGTTATGTTGCAGGCTGATACCGTTGTTAAATTCATTTTTTTCTCATTAATCTACACTCGATACCCCATAATGGCAAAGTGAAAACAGAATATTAGAAACGTTTGCAAATTATGAAAAAGGAAAAACTGAAATATCACTTTAACATGAGTATTCAGAACCTTTACAACACTTGAAATTTAGCTTCAGGGCCTCCTGTTTCTCTTGATCGTTGCTGAGATGTTTCTACACTTTGATTGGAGTCCACCTGTGGTAAATTAAATTGGACCTGATTTGGAAAGGCACACACCTCTCTATAAGAGGCCTCACAGCTGACAATGCATACTGTATTAGAGCAAAAGCCACAAGGTCAAAAGGAACTGCCTGCAGAGGTCAGTGACATGATTATTGCAAGGCATAGATCTAGGAAAGGCTACAAAAAAAATCTGCTACACTGAAGGTTCCACAGAGCACAGTGGCTTCCATAATTATCAAATGGAGAAAGTTTGGCACAGCCAGAACTCTTCCAACAGCTGGTCTCCTGGTGCAATCAGAGGAGAATGGCCTTCGTAAGAATGGTGACCAAGAATCCAATGATGATCACTCTGACTGAGCTCCAGAGATCCTGTGTGGAGATGAGACAAAGTTCCAGAAGGACAACCATCACTGCAACCCTCCTCCGATCTGGGCTTTATGGCAGAGTGGCTAGACAGAACCCTTTCTTCAGTGCAAAACACATGAAAGCCCGCTTGAAGTTTGTAAAAAAGCACCTGAAAAACTCTCCGACTGAGGAACAAGATTCACTGGTCTGATGAAACCAAGATTGAGCTGTCTGGCCTCAATTCTAATGTTATGTCTGGAGGAAACCACGCACGGCTCATCACCTGCCCAATACCATTCCAACAGTGAAGCATGGTGGTGGCAGGGGGGGGGAGGGAGGGGGGGGAGGAGGGAGGGAGGGGGGGGGGGGGGGGGCCTAGCAGCACCTGTGGTCGGACGACTTGGCAGCTGTCAGAAGGCAACATGGCGGCACCAGACCCATGCAGCAGCTGCAGAGAGGAGGACCCCAGCAGGACAACACTGAATCTGTCTAGGTGAGTATCCCTACTGTGCAGAACACAGGATCAGGTAAGCAGAGGAAAAAAAATATTAGGGGAAAGGATGAAATTCTCCTTTAAGGACAACAGCTCTGAAAATAGGTGAGAGCTCCTAGTTCAAATTTAACCTGTGGTATTTTAACTTTCAAAATTCAGACATTGGAGAACCTTTTTTTTTTTTTTGCGACCCTTAAAAAAATTATACTCAGATACATATGGGCAAATAAAAAACCAAGAGTTAAATATGTAATTTTGAGTAGTAATAAACTAAGAAGGGGACTAAATATTTCCGGAGATATTATATCTTAGTGCTAATGTCACGAATAGGGGATTGGATATATAATACACAGAGAAGTTTGGTAAAAATGGAGAATACACTAAGTAAGGCACAATTAGATAGGAATATTTGGCTACCACATGAGTTTTCATACTTTGGATGAAGACACTAGCACTTTGAAACGGAATGTATTGAGGATATGGGATGTATTGCACAAGCAGAAGGAAAGGAAGTATAACTCACTTTTAATACCATTGGTGAGAACAAAATTTTTCCCACCGGGGAATGAAAGTATCTCGGAAAAATGGATAAAGGATAGCAACACACGTTTGAAAGATATTGTAAATAAATGGGAATTATGTTATTTTCATGATTTAAAAGTAAGAAGGAAATATTTTCAATATTATATGAATGGCGGTATCATCAAACAAGACATTTTGTTGCAAGGCTCCCACAACCATTAAGGATAGAGGATATGTATCCTTTAGAGCAGGGGTTAAAATTTTGAGTCCAGACCTACTAGCCGGTCACAAAACTTACTCTCCACCAGTTGCCCCACCCAACCTTGCCCAGGTCTGCCCCAAAACCCAACCCCCGCCCCCTTAAAGCTTATGAAATTACATTTTTCTTTAGAATAGTCCAAAATATAAAACTGTACATAGTAATGTATATCCCAGATCCCCTGTACTCCATTATAGTGATGTGACATGTATACAGTAATGTATATCCCAGCTCCCCTGTACTCCGTTATAGTGATGTGACATGTATACAGTAATGTATATCCCAGCTCCCCTGTACTCCATTATAGTGATATGACATGTATACAGTAATGTATATCCCAGCTCCCCTGTACTCCATTATAGTGATATGACATGTATACAGTAATGTATATCCCAGCTCCCCTGTACTCCATTATAGTGATATGACATGTATACAGTAATGTATATCCCAGCTCCCCTGTACTCCATTATAGTGATGTGACATGTATACAGTAATGTATATCCCAGCTCCCCTGTACTCCATTATAGTGATATGACATGTATACAGTAATGTATATCCCAGCTCCCTGTACTCCATTATAGTGATATGACATGTATACAGTAATGTATATCCCAGATCCCCTGTACTCCATTATAGTGATGTGACATGTATACAGTAATGTATAACCCAGATCCCCTGTACTCCATTATAGTGATATGACATGTATACAGTAATGTATATCCCAGCTCCCCTGTACTCCATTATAGTGATGTGACATGTATACAGTAATGTATATCCCAGCTCCCCTGTACTCCGTTATAGTGATGTGACATGTATACAGTAATGTATATCCCAGCTCCCTGTACTCCATTATAGTGATATGACATGTATACAGTAATGTATATCCCAGCTCCCCTGTACTCCATTATAGTGATATGACATGTATACAGTAATGTATATCCCAGATCCCCTGTACTCCATTATAGTGATGTGACATGTATACAGTAATGTATATCCCAGATCCCCTGTACTCCATTATAGTGATATGACATGTATACAGTAATGTATATCCCAGCTCCCCTGTACTCCATTATAGTGATGTGACATGTATACAGTAATGTATATCCCAGCTCCCCTGTACTCCGTTATAGTGATGTGACATGTATACAGTAATGTATATCCCAGCTCCCCTGTACTCCATTATAGTGATGTGACATGTATACAGTAATGTATATCCCAGCTCCCCTGTACTCCATTATAGTGATATGACATGTATACAGTAATGTATATCCCAGATCCCCTGTACTCCATTATAGTGATGTGACATGTATACAGTAATGTATATCCCAGATCCCCTGTACTCCATTATAGTGATATGACATGTATACAGTAATGTATATCCCAGCTCCCCTGTACTCCATTATAGTGATGTGACATGTATACAGTAATGTATATCCCAGCTCCCCTGTACTCCGTTATAGTGATGTGACATGTATACAGTAATGTATATCCCAGCTCCCCTGTACTCCGTTATAGTGATGTGACATGTATACAGTAATGTATATCCCAGCTCCCCTGTACTCCATTATAGTGATATGACATGTATACAGTAATGTATATCCCAGCTCCCCTGTACTCCATTATAGTGATATGACATGTATACAGTAATGTATATCCCAGCTCCCCTGTACTCCGTTATAGTGATGTGACATGTATACAGTAATGTATATCCCAGCTCCCCTGTACTCCATTATAGTGATATGTGACATGTATACAGTAATGTATATCCCATCTCCCCTGTACTCCATTATAGTGATGTGACGTGTATACAGTAATGTATATCCCAGCTCCCCTGTACTCCATTATAGTGATATGACATGTACACAGTATGTATATCCCAGCTCCCCTGTACTCCATTATAGTGATATGACATGTATACAGTAATGTATATCCCATCTCCCCTGTACTCCATTATAGTGATCTGACATGTATACAGTAATGTATATCCCATCTCCCCTGTACTCCATTATAGTGATGACATGACATGTATACAGTAATGTATATCGCAGCTCCCCTGTACTCCATTATAGTGATATGACATGTATACAGTAATGTATATCGCAGCTCCCCTGTACTCCATTATAGTGATATGACATGTATACAGTAATGTATATCCCAGCTCCCCTGTACTCCATTATAGTGATGTGACATGTATACAGTAATGTATATCCCATCCCCTGTACTCCATTATAGTGATGTGACATGTATACAGTAATGTATATCCCATTTCCCCTGTACTCCATTATAGTGATATGACATGTATACAGTATGTATATCCCAGCTCCCCTGTACTCCATTATAGTGATATGACATGTATACAGCAATCATTACTGTATACATGTCAACACTATAATGGAGTACAGGGCAGCTGGGATATACATTACTGAGTAATGTATATCCCAGCTCCCCTGTATTCCATTATAGTGATAGGACATGTTGTATACAGTACTTACTGTCCCCCCGGGTCCCCCGCGGCGGTGGAGAGGGTGTCTCCTCTCAGCGGAGGAGGAGAGCGGACCTCTCCTGCACCTGCCCCTCAGTGGCGGTGCCACAGAAGCCAGAAACCGGAAGTTGTAAACCGGAACTCGGCTTCACAGTGAGGCTTGGAGCTCAGGTGCAGTCGCTCCATGCTTCATCTGTGTTCGCTGCTCGCCGCTCGCCACAGAGGAATTTCTCCTCGCATTTGGCGAGCGGGCGAGCGGCTTTTTCAAGCCCTGCTTTACAGCATATGTTTAGTTTAAATAAAATACAAAAACATGCTACCTCATATAATTTATAAGATCCTTACGGAACTATCTGGATTAGAGTTCCAAGGGTTCTTAGAGAAGTGGGAAAAGGTGCTTGGGACAAAATTGAATGAGAAACAAAAAAACTAAATGTTTATATTAACACATGGGGTGGTGAATATGAACACAGTTGAAAGGAATTATAAATGTCTTGTAAGATGGTATATTACACCTAATATAGCACATAAGCAAAGACCAGATGTATCACCTATGTGTTGGCAAAGGTGTGGGAGTAAGGGAACAATGACACACATTTGGTGGTATTGCCCCAAAATACAGGTGTACTGGCGCATGATCATTCAATATATACAGGAGATACTGAGAATTAATACAGCTAGATCTGTGGATCTGTCTCTTTTACATATCTGAGACATCAGTGAAGCACTATAAGAACATGATATTGTATCACTTGTTAAATGCGGCCAAAGGCCTTATTCCTAAACTCTGGCAAGCAACAGAGCCACCCAAAATAAAAGACTGAATAACTAGAGTGGATATATATATATATATATATATATATATATATATATATATATATATATATATATAAAGATGGAGGAACTATACCATATAGAAGAGGCCAAGTTGAAAAATCTAAAAAAAATCTTGGGGTAGTTGGTACGACTTTAAAAAATCAAAAAGATATTTAGAAGCTGTTGGAGTGTAAAGAAGAAGGAAGTAATAGGAATAAGAGTATGCAGAAGGATAGGACAGAAGGAAAAGGATAAGATGGTGGATACGTTGACAAGGAGAATACTAGAAGACAAAGAAGTAAATGAAAAGAATAAGAAGACAAAGGGGTAATTGATGGGGAGGGGAAGGAGGAATAGGGATTGGATAAATGTAAGAAGAATTTGTGTTTTATGACGTTTGTTATAAAGTGGATTTTGTATTGGAAAAAATCTATAAAGATATAATTAAAACTAAAATTAGTACAGGGTCAGTGCTTTTCATTGGCACCGATCACTATAATAGTGTCACCGGGAATGTCAGTAGCCGTTAGTCAGTTCCTGCCCAGTGTCAGAATGCCCACCGCAGTCCCACTATAAGTCGCTGATCGCAGCCATTACTAGTATAAAAAAAAAAAAATTCCAATATATATACCACCATTTGCAGATGCTATAGCTTTCACGTAAACCAATTATTACGCACTTATTGGGATTTGTTTTTTAGCAAAGACATGTAGCAGAATACATTTTGGCCTAAATTTATGAAGAAATGTGATTTTTTAAATTTTATTGAATATGTTTTATAGCAAAAAGGCAAAAATTTTGGTTTTTTTTTTTCAAAATGGTCGGTCTTTTTTTGTTTATAGTGCAAAAAAATAAAAAACGCAGAGGCATTCAAATAGAACCCAAAGAAAGCTTTGTTTGTGGGGAAAACAATTACATAAATTTAATTTGGGTACAGGGTTGCTTGACCACGCAATTGTCAGTTAAAATAACACAGCACCATATTGCAAAAAATGGCCTGGTCAGGAAGGGGGGTAAATCCTCTGGAGGGCAAGTAGTACTGAAAGAGACTTTGTATATAATCATTTAAATATAATACAAAATACTGGTACAATTTTACTGCAAACTTAATTGCTATGCTTTATATTACCTTCAATCTATTGGGCTCCAGCTTCTCTGCATTCAGATGCTGATCTTCCCTGCATAGAGCCCTTAAACGATTGTAAATGTTGGATTTTTTTTTCTAACAACAAAGTTCTCATAGTTACCTGCTCTTTGCAATTGTTTTGCACAGAGCAGCCTTCATTCTCCTCTCCCGGGGTCCCTCCTCCTGCCTGCAGAGTGCCCCTCTAGCAAGCTGAAAAGTATAGTATACAGTGCCCCATAGCAAGGAAAAAAAACTTCGGCCTTTAGAATCACTCACTTTCTTCTCCTACCCAGGATTACATGTCCCATGAGGCAAAGCTCCTCACACATTCACAAGTTCTGAAGCATCTACTGACATATACGGACAAGGTACTGAGCTGCATGTATGCTGCACTGTGTATGCTGACCTGTATGGACAATGTACTGAGATGTATGTGTCCTACACTGTATTTTTTGATATGTAAACAAGTAACACATTCTGTATGCAGGCCAACAAAGGTGAGGCTGGTGCTAAGCTGACAGTTGTCAATATTATGTATGAGAAAGTCTGTGTGCTAGGAAATATAATACACAACTTGAAACTTTTCATCAGTGAATATTAGCGGAAGATTCTTTTGTATAGCCCCTAGTTTACGTTTAGAGGTTACATATCAGAACCCAAGTAAACAACATTCAACATCATTTACAAATGTTGAACAGATCTTCTAAAAATAAGAGAAGTCGAGTAAACAGAAAATAAATGCCATACCTGGACAGACGCTTTCTTCCTGGGTATTCTCGATGGACAGTTCTTTCCTCACATCAGCTGGCGAGATGGGACTAAAAGTATAACAAAATGAAGTTACTTTCTGCAATAATATTTCACCATGAAGCTTAACCACTTCCCGTCCAGCACATGTATATAAACGACCAGACGGGGGCAATGCAGGGGCGGTTTGCCGTTCATAAACGGTGCCCGCCATTTTGGACTGTACGCGCTCCCTGGGAGCGCACAGCACCGTGATCCGGTTCCCGCTGTGTTCTCTGGACACAGCGGAACACTGATCGCTGTACAGGACCTCTGTGTGAGGTCCCGATCATGTGATCACTGATTGACCAATCAGTGATCATATGTATAGTAGTAAGCAAGATGTCACTTCTGATATCATTGCTTACTACTAGTGAAATCTGTGAATGATCACAGAGATGACATGGTACAAGGCTATTCACAACAGCCTTGTACCATGTGACAAGCTGTGATCAATCACTGCTCTCACAGTATTTCTCAATGGCTGCAAGAATGCAACCAGAGAGAAGGAGAAATTATTGCTTTTACAGCCTTTATGGGTGTAAAAGCAATCAGTGTAAAAAAAAAAAAAAACTTCATTACCCCCCCCCCCCCCCCACTGCTGGGTGACAGTATTAAAAAAAAAAAAAAAAAAAAAAAATGATAATCTAAAAAAAAAAATGTAAAAAATGTTTTTTTACTAAAAGGATAACGGAATAAATTTTGGCCAAGATTTACGAAGAAAGATTATTTATTTGCAAAATTGTATAAGAAAAACACTTTTTCAATATTTTTGGAATTTTTCATTTATATAGCAAAAAAAATAAAAATCCCAGTGGTGAATAAATACCACCAAAATAAAGTTTTATCTGTCTCAAAGAAATGCTAAAAAAATTCATATGGGTAAAGTGTGTGACCCACAAAATTGTCATTCAAAGTGTGACAGCACTGAAAGCTGAAAATTGGCCTGGACAGGAAGAGGGTAAAAGTGTCCGGACTTGAAGTGGTTAAAATAAAAACAGCAACATCTGCAAGAAAGAAACTTTTTCTAAGCTATGTACTACTCTGTAATGTACTATTGACAAAATAGTCATTTAATAAATAGCACAAAAATTCTAAACCACCTGTGCAAAAATAAAAGCCAATTCGCAAAAAAAAAAATATATGAGAAAGTGTATGCTACCCCAACAGTTCATATTTATAATATATGTCTGTGTTAAAATGTACTCTTGATAAAAAGTATCCTGTTCACTTTGTATTTCTTCCTTTGTGTGAAATATCTGGTGATACTGCCAGTCCCCCGCCTTTCTATCTCAAACTGACTATGCCAGGGCATAAGAGCCCAACCATTCCAGTGTGGTCAGTTTTCTTCTTTGCATTCTAATTGGCCTGTAATCCAACAGGCAGCCATGCTGACATCCCCCCTGAACAGCTCTTCACATGGAAGAGCAGTGTACTGCTGTTCCTCTACCTCCTGCTGACACAACCACCTGCCCCGCTTTTCACAGTATATTTCTATCTGCATTTTACATTGGACTGTACCTGTGTTCTGGTCAGACTGCGCCTGTCATGCCCCCTCATTGTCACAAGAAAAGGGTAACTATAATCATATATTTTAAACTGAATTGTTTTACAAGGTAAGGGTTCACATATACTGTGAAGATCATTTATCCAATGAAACCAGGGTAGATAAAAATCAATGATTTAAAAAAAAAAAAAAAATCAGATTTTTTTTATTTAAATCGGATTTATTTTATTTAAATCGGATTTTTTTTAAATAAAATGCTTTTTGAGGAAAATATATTACCATCCAAAGGTTATTCCATCATGAAATAATGATTCGTTTTTTAATTATGTAGAATAAGGCTGTATATGTTTAATTTTTTTGGTAAATAAATTCCATTAATCCATTCACAATGTCATGCTCTTCCAGAGGTTTTTGTAAGATTATTGGGCAGTTTCTCTGCCTACAAGATATTATCACAGATGCTTGGTTTACTTTTTGCAGTTCTCAAAACTGAATTTGACTCAGCGGAGATCACATGCCTCTTCTTCACAGCAAAAATGTTATAACATGAACAGAGTTAAGAAAAAGACCTTAATCCTAACTTCTACAAACCTATGAATACAGAATCAACCCCTTCAGTGCTATGTTTCAAGAAGTTCAGTGAATAGAATAGAAACAATATTTTTCTGATTGTTTGGAGTGGAATAGATCTGCACAAGAAGAAAGTGAAACTAAGTGTGAGGAGGAAGGGGCTGACAGTCTAAGTTTCTTAAAATATATATATTTTGTTTAGCCAAATTAGTTAACAAACATGGATGTTTGTTTAAGCAAATAACTTATGCTGTAATGTTATTGTTTCAGTTGAATAAATCTATTTAAATTGTTATTATTAAGGTAATGATTATTTTTCTCCTTCCTAAGTACAACAGAAAAGTTGTCCAAATATGAATGATTAACCTATTAAACTGGGGATAAAAAAACTAATCTGAAAAGTTGTTATTCTAAAAATCTTCATCTACTTGTATATTAAAGTTATACCAGCAAGAATTAGTCTTTATGTAGAAAACTAGGATTTAAATCAAGCCGTACTGACTAGTGATTTAAATCATGATTTAAATCAAATCCACCCTGAATGAAACTACTTATCCCATCACATGGCTCCATAGTCTGTTGCTGCAAATATCTACAGCTGTAAACTGAGGGACATAAGAACATATTTATAAAGCAATAAATATGACATTCACAGGCAGTTCATGATTTCCTGTAATTTAAATCATATGCGCCAAAACAAATCACTTTCAGTGAATATTTGTCAGAAGTCACATTCACTGTTTTATAAATACGCCATATAGTCCTTCCATGTGTAATGTAATCTGTTTACTCACACAAAAGTCCAACAACACATATCCAAGTGATTCTCATGTCTCTCACCAAATCCTTAGCTGCTGATTTCATAAGCACCTCACCTATTTTAAACTAGCGACAACAAACATAATAGGTTGCTTTAAATAGAACTATTACACCCATTTTACACTGGAACAAAAATTTATTTAAAAAAAAAAAAAACAAACTGCTTTGATGACTGAACATTTCTGTTCTTAAAGGGAATTGCACTCGTGTTCCAGCTTATGCTCAACTAAGATGCACAATTGTTGTTTACTTGTTAGGGCTCATTCACACCTGTGATTGGGGGGGGGGGGGCTAAAAACACATGGTTGGCTGTGTTTTTACAGGTCCCCTTCCCCCCACTGCAACCAAATCATCCCAAGCTGCGATGACAGCTGAATGGGGGTGTACACATGCCCCACCACATTTTATCCTCCTTTTGCATTCACAAGCAGTGGAGCTGCCTAACTTAGCCTGTTCAAATGAATGGGGCCATGCCGCAACCTTCCTACAATTGTTGCAGCATGAAAGGGGTTGCAGAAGGGTTAAAACAGGCATTGAGAGGAGACATTGTCTCTCAATCCCCTGTCAAACACTGCTGAAAAGCAATCCACAATGAATCGCTTTTCAGAGGAGAGGAAATCTCTGCCGCTAATGAAAACCTAGCCTTAAAGGCTAGTTCACACTACAATCCCTGTTGTCAGTGTGCATTTCCACATGCACAATTACATGTATTTTTAGATTATCTGTTATGTGTTCCAGTGTGTTTGTTTTTCCCACTTCAAACTGTTTATGTGCATTTTAGTGTGGCCCCCATGCCAAGCGAGCAACCTCCTGTGTTCACAATGCAGCAGGGCAGCTGCTCAGTATGAGACCCAGAAGCTAGTGGAGATCACTGTTGCAGCGACTTCCAGCTTCCAAGGGCATTGGCCAGGCATGGTATATGCACAGCTACATTGGTCCAAAGCTAGACCAATGTAAAAATATCTATGCCTGGAATTCATCTTTAAAGTGTATGTAAACCCTAACAACTTTGGGCTGTAAAAATATACTATCGGAAGTGTTTTGTTATATTTGTTCTGTAAGTGCAAAAAAAAAAAAAAAAAGCTGTAGATCTTGCCAGAAAATTCACAGATGTCCTTTGCCTTTGTATATATTTCCTGTGTTCTCTCATAGAGAGTTATTTGTCCTCCTAGATTATATTTAGATACTACAGAATGATCAGATTTTATATAGCGGAGATGAAAGAGTAGGTGTGTCTGAGTAGTTTATCAAAAGAAAACTGGACACGTTCTGCTTTGGGGAGATGTACTAAAACTGGTACTCAAAATTTGGTGCACTGTGCATGGTAGTCAATCAACTTGTAATTTTTGCTTGTTCAATTAAGCTTTGACAACAAAACCTAGAAGCTGGGTGGTTTCTATGACCAGTTGCACCAGATTTTGCAAGTTCAACCACCACCACCACCACCAGTCATTCAAAGGGCTACGAATAAAATTCTTAGCCACACCAAAAGTATGGAGCCACCTAATAAAATGATACAGTGATTTTTAGTAAGACTGTGAAAGTAATTGACAGCCAATCCAAAATAATGTGCTATAGGGATGGAGGATTTGCAGTACATCATTAGCAGGGGACTTATTTAACCACAAACTAACAAAGTGGGAACCATCAATAGTGGCTGCAGCTATTGAAAAAAAGGAATGGCAAACCTTCCTTGGTATAGTCAGCTACTATAGGAGGTTCATCCCTAATTTTGCCACCCCTGCAGCTCCCTTGAAAGACCTACCCAAGGACACAGCATTCACAAAGACCCCAAATCAGGAAGTGCAGCAACTGAAAGCTGCGCACTGTGTAAAGAATGGGTCTTAGTTGCTCCAGACAAATGAGAATTTGTGGTTAAAACAGATGCCTGAGTGTGGACAGGGTAGCATTCCTCCCTCGGTCGATAAACCTGGAAGAACTCCATGTGGTTTACCCAAGCTGAAAAAAGAACTGCAGAAAATAATTGTGGCATAGTGGGCATGAGTGCCTGGTGATAAAGTGGGCCTTGGAGTCTATAAGATACTACCTCTTGTAAAGGAAATCCTACCTGATCAGATCACTTAAGACTGCCAAGTCTACCTTTTGCAAACAAAAAATAAATGCACCCACATTTGC